AATTGCATTGGCACGCCACGTACATGGGAAGGACACGTCACATCGACCGTTATTGTTCATGGCTTTGGGAGTTCAAACCTTAGACGCTCATGCACAACCTTAGAACATTATTTTCATAATAATACTAAAGCAAACCAATTGTGAAAAAACTCATCTAATACCAATTTCAATGGAACTAATACAAAAATAGAAGCTAGATATTGAGTACGAACCTTCTTGAACTATGGAAGGACAGTAGGAGCAAGAAGGGGGAAAGAAGTCAAGAACTACACAACCAAGAATCCATAAAAAAATGTAACTTTCTTTACTTGAATCACCTTCCAACTCTAATAATGGGAAACACACATGAAGTCTCTCAAACTAAGTGTTCTTGACTGCGAATACGGTTACAAACTCGAATTTAAGGTTAGCTTCACTTAAATAGTCCTTCAGTTATATTTTCGGCCCTTAAAGTGTCACATAATGCCCCTTGCACCCCATATATATGTTCAAGGTTCATTTTATTACACTTTTATCCCTTAGATAACAATTTAAGGCCATCTAAATTCAATTCAATAGAGGTACATAACAAAATGCTAACTTTGCTAACATAGGAAAATTAGGTCAGGGTGGAGATGGTTTACTACCTACGTTTCAAAGTTGTTGGGGGCATCAGACATAAGCAAAGAAAGTTACTCTACGGTTTAGCATTCTCTGAGGGGATGTTATCAGAGCTAGGGCATGGGTCGATGTGTTCGACTCGGACGTCGAACCCAATAAAGGGGGGATGAAGATCCCCTATAGGTTGGGAAGGAGAACTAAGCACACCTTATAAGGGGTGTGGATACCTTTCATGTCACAACACGTTTTAAAGTCGTAAGTGCAGCATATCCCAAAAGAACTCTACAGTTAAGCATGTTTATACGAGAGCAATTCCATGATTGGTAACCCACTGGAATGTTTTCATGTCGAGAGTCCAAAACAGGAAATATTATGAAACGTGTCAGAGAAAAATGTTACACCATACAAAAAATTGAAACCAAAAGTGTCGTCTTCAAGAAAAAGAAGTTTGGGAACTAAACTTATGAATTTTTCTAAACCACAATGACTATTTATATAACTTTGTCAAGTTTAAATGTTTAATTATCATTAAAAATTTCGAGAATTGATTGAGAAAGCGATAAAATTTAAGTTTTTTTTAGTATTTTCCCCTAATTTTTAAAAGAAGATTGTTATTACACATTTGTTCTTCTATGATTAGATTAAAAAAATTATAATTTTAAATAATATACTTTGACAAGAATAATTTTGTATTAAATTTTATCGATAAAATGTTATTGTTATAAAAACATTTCAATAGTTAATTTTTTCTATTTAAAAAATAACCAACTTATATATATATATATATATATATATATATATATATATATATATATCTATATATATATATATATATTATTATATATAGAGAGAGAGAGAGAGAGAGAGAGAGAGAGAGCTAGGTTCAAATATTTCCCACAACTATTGTATACATGTATGGACCAATAGGAATTTAACAATAATTTAATCATTAAATTTAAGAATAAGGGTAGCATAGTCATTTTACTTTTATAAACCAAAAATAAATCTTGTATATTTAGAAAATATTTAAATGAAATCTTAATATCCCTAATGATAATGACGACCATAAGATCGTCTTCTCTGTAAACCTACCGTCATCACCATCCACACAATGTTGCCCTCTTTCTTCCCCAGCATCGGCGGCACCAAGAATCCTCCATCACAACATATTATTTCACACAATCCATCCTTTCTTCTTTCTCGTCTTAGAACTCTGTCACCAATTGCGATAGAGATCGTCCAAAAACTCACGATCGTTGGCGACCCAATTTCTTCTTCTTCCCTCTCCACCATTGGTGACTTCTGCTTCCTTCATGCCACTGTCAAACGATGTTTACTTGTAATTATAAGGCTTTAATTATCCAAATCAAATCTTAATCAAAGTAACAACTCAAGTTATGGGCAGAGAGAAATAATGGTGCTGAAAGTATATGTTGATCGACTCTCCCAGACATCTCGTTCTATTCTCCTATTCTACAGGTAATTACATTCTTCATTTACATTGGGTGTTTTCATTTTCTGTTCCAACCTTTACTTTTTTTCACATTGGCAGCTTCGTTGTAGAAACGGCCTGGAAGAGAATTTGATGTCTATGTTGCACACCAGGTGTTTGTAGAAATGCCTCAAAGAGAATTTGATGTTCAAATTCTTGAAGAACACAAAAATAATTCTAACTTAGTTATTTGTGTTACTTGGTTCTAACATGTGGTATGCTTATTTGTTAATTACCTGAAAGAGTACTTCTTTTATTTTCTTCATTAAACCTTTTGATATGTTTTTTTTTTGTTGTTGTTAACTCCTTGTTTGTTAATTACCTGAGTAACATCAATCTTTGTTATTTGAATTTGATTTTTTTTAATCAATTTAGGGTGATGATTTAATTAACGGTTTATAAGATATTTTCACAAATTTGAGACAGATTAGAACTTAAACATTGTATGAATGAGAAAACTCTTCTCAAAAACATTTGTAATCACCTGATCAAAATAAGCAATATGTGGAAAATATCAAAATCTAACCATCTAATATTTGCAAAATATTAAACTTAACATGTTCCACTATTCCAACAATTTTATAATCTTGATTTAGTAGCAAATTCTATGTATTCTATGTATTCTTCCAGAATATATAAAGTGCTAGGAATTGCAAGTAACATTCTAGTAATTCTGACAGAATGCATTTATACATTTTATGCTTTAAAATGTTTAGATATATAGAAATACGATTGCAAATGGAAAATCACATGCTTTTAATTCTTTATAGTGGCATGTAAAGTTATAACTAGCAGATTTTATTCTATGTATTCTGCGAGAATGTATTTTATGTATTATTCAAGATTGTGTTCTATATATTCTACCAGAATGTATTATATGTATTCTGTCAGAATGTATAACATGCTTTTAACCATTCTTAGTTTTTGTTGCATTTGTGATAGGAATGGTCGGAAGAATGACTTGAAGACCTGATAAGAATGACTTGAAGAATGAGTCAAAGATTAATCACACTCACAGTTTAAGAATGTTCTTATTTTTTAAGAATTACACTTGTATTTATTCATTAATTGTATATTCAAGAATGCTGATTTTTTATGATATTCTTTTAGAATATGTATAAATATATTAAAATGTATAAGGCTATTAGTATGTAAGAATATGTATGAATTTGTATTTAAGTTCGAATGTATATAAAAATATTAAAATGTTGTTATTCTTCAACTAGGAGTTCAAGAATTCTGTTATTCTTCATTAATATTCTAATAGAATAAAACTCTGAAATAAAATCATTCTAACAAAAAAACATTCTGACGGAATAAAATCGGTTATGTTTACAAATTATGTTTAGAATTAAATTGAATTAATTTAAAAAATTCAGATTTTTAAAATTAGGAGTATTAATTATCCCTAACAATCCGAAAATTTCATTTTTTAAATATAGTTAATTGTCCAAAATACAATTATGCTGAAATTTGTGTGAGTATATGGTACATGTTACCCTATCGTAATATCATAGACTCTCAGATCATAATCATTGATTCTATTCCATCTGTAGTCTAGATCAGTGCATTCTGGTACACAATAGTTAGTAAAAACAAAATAACCTGAGCTTATATATATATATATATATATATATATATATATATATATATATATATATATATAAAAGGTTTTACTTAGAGATCACAAAAAAAAATTTTGAATTTTTTTATGAAAAAATCGCAACTTTTAGTATAAAATCACTGAATTTTTTTTGAAAAAAAACCAACTTTTTTATAAAAAAAAATTGATTTTTTATTTTTTTTTTCAGCGATTTTATACTAAAAGCTGTGATTTTTCTATAAAAAAAATTTTAATTTTTTTTTGTAATATCTAATTATTTTTTTTATGCATTTTTATGATTTTTAGGGTTTTTTGGTTCCAATAACCCTTCCCTATATATATATATATATATATATATATATATATATATATATATATATATATATATATATATATATATATATATATATATATATATATACCGTTTTAACTTTTATATGATTTTTTAAAGTTTAAGTCTATCATTTTTTTTAAGAATTTAATAAATAGAAAACGATTAAGTGTTTGTAATGTGATATTTTTTAACTTCTGATATTTGCATTATTTTGAGAAATTTTAATTTACTTTTTTATGATATAAATGTTTATTAAATATATTTAAGTATATTTTGTACATTTGATCAAAAAAGACTGTATAAAGAAATATAAAAATAATATCTAAATATAAATGTAAAATAGATTGTTATGAAAATGTAAAGGTTAGATGATTAAAAATTAGAGTTCATTAGTGTTTAAACAAACAAAACTCTCAATATTTATCATCTACAACGATAAACATTTTTTAAAAAATTTCGAATATAAAAAATGTTTAAACATGGTTAGTTGTATGAATACCATGAAGAAAACAACCAAAACTTAAAACCCTATCAAAAGCAAGTAAAGCAAAAAATGAAACATTCATGTGAACCTCATAACAAGGCAAAAATCATCCTCAAGAAAACGAGCACATGATACAACTCATCACAACCACGAATGGTTGCACATACATCCCCTCCATAAGAGTTGGTACAAATTACACTCCAATCTACAACTCTTCCCAAATTCAAAGAATATAAATACCGTTCCGAGAAAAAAAAAAGTATAATCAAATAATGTTACTACAAACAAACAAAAATAAACACATGCCATCATATCCCACTTAAGATCTTTGATCATAATTATTATCAAGTGAGACTAATCTTTCTCTTACGTGTCAATCCCTTGTGTCCGAAAACAAGCAATTTTTAGCTTCATTTCCGAGGTATATCTCCTTCATTCTTCAGCAAAAGAATCAACCAAATATTCAATCCAAACTCTAATGGCTAATCTAACAACATCCACAGCATCTACCACCACATTTGGATAATATAATCAAGAAAATAATGAGAAAAACCACAGCCGAAAGCCCAATTGCCACTCCAAGAACAACCTTATTTGGACCATGATCACTATCATCTCCCTTTCTCTTCTTTCCACTATCACCACCATCATCATAGTCACCGCTGTTCAAATCATCCACAGATGACGACGGCTCATCGGCCGCCGGTGGAGGCAAAATAGGCAGTCCATGTTTATCACAAGGAGCAATCCCAAGCTTCGCTTTTTTCGAAATCGAAGAGTGATTGTAACACAGATTGTCATTTCCATTTATCTTGAACACGGTCAATTTCTTGATGAACGACGCATTAAAAGGCATAACTCCATGGAAATTATTGTTTTCCAGATTCAGATACTTCAATCCCTTCATTTCGGTGATGGATCTGGGAATTGTACCGTTTAACTGATTCGAACCCAGATCCAAATGGACTAATCTTGAAATAGTGGAAATTGATCCCGGAATCGAGCCAGATAACGAATTTGATGATAAAGAGATATTTTGAAGAGAAATCAAGTCACCAATTGTAGAGGGTATTTCTCCAGTGAGTTGATTCGAAGATAAATTCAAGAATCTAAGGTTTTCCAAAAGTGTTAAAGATGTGGGTATAGTACCATTGAGTTTGTTCTCCGACAAATCCATGTGCGAGAGCTTCGGATTCCAATGTTTTGGGATTAATCCAGTGAGGTTAGTGTTTGATAGGGTTAGGGTGTTCAAAGACTTCATGTTAGAGGTTATAATGTGGATGCCGGATGCTTTGATGGAATCGCCGGAGATGTCGAGTTCTGTAAGGTTGCTGAAGCGGCTGAGGAAGACGCCGGTGAGACGTTGTAGGGAGTTGATGGATGTGAAAGATAGGAGGTTGATGGAGAGGGAGGTGGGGAAGTGGACTATGGGAACGTGGCAGTCGACAAAGCTGAGGGAGGTGAGTGTAGAAAGGGAGGAAAGGGCTGTGGTGGAAAGGGAGAGGTCCTCGGAGCAGTTGGAAAGCCGGAGGGAGAGGAGGTGGCGGAAGGGAGTGCCGGTATCACAGACGGTGGCGTTGTGGAAAGAAGGTTGGGTGCAGGGGTCATGGGTTGTTGGAATGTAGAGAGATTGGAGTGCCCTTACTTGCTTTGGGTCAAGAGTTGAGGATGTGGAGGCAGCGTTGGCAGGTTGTGAGACGACGACTGCGGCGGAGTAGAGGAGGACGATGCGGAGGAGTAGGAGGGATCCAGTGGTGGAAGGTCTCATAGTTACTGTGTGTGAGAGAGAGAGAGAGACTGTGTGAGTTGGGTGAAGCAGGGTAAGGTGTATTTTGAAGTTCGTACTAAAAAGAAGACTCTTGGGCAGGGCAAGTGCTAACAAAGAAAAGGGTAATGCATATGAAAATACTATTATACCCTTGGCTTTGGATTTATCATTTTGACCCGTAAACATTTAACATCCAAATTGCCATTGTATCACATGGCCCATCTGATCCAAGTGTGCTGTTAAAGTTATCAAAACAAAAACAAAAGAGTAAATTCTAAATTTTGTCCACCGTTTATTTAGTACCAGAAATATTCTCGCGCATTGCGATGTAGTTAAAAGAGTTGTGATTAAAAATGTAAATAAACAATGGGATTAAGAATTTAGATATTATAGTATAAATATGAGGTAGGTTCAAATGTTTAAAATAATTATTGTGTTATTGTATGCATAAACGTGGGTCAATCAAAATTAAATAAAAAATTAAAAAATTAAATAAATAAATAAGGGTAATTTAGTAATTTGTTTAGTAACTTCCAAAAATAATCCCTATAATCATGGGATAATCGCTGGTCTTCCTCACCTTAAAACCTAAATAAATAAGCTGGTCTTCCTCACCTTCTCATTGCCGCCTGCGACCTCCAACGTCGTATCTGCGTCATCGACCTTCGCCAAAAATCAGCACATTCGCCAAGACCTTTGCTGGATCCAAGCCCTGACTCATAGATAAATTAGAAAACAGAATTACTTTCTTACATTTACTCCGCCAAACAGCCAGAAATTCTCTCTTTGACTCCGCTTACTCCGACGGGACCACATTCTGATTTCGTCGCCTTCCGTCGTCAATCTACCAATTTGACGGCCGGGAACCGCAACTAATCAGCTTCAGTGTCATACCTTTCTTCACCGGTTGAAAACAGATAAGCGTCAAGCATCATACTTTCCCCCATTTATAGTTCAAGGTCAAACGGCTGTTGAAATCTTCCAAGACAACTCAAAGGTGTTCAACTCAAACGGATTATTGGCGCGGTTTGTAGATCTGGTGGGCGGAGTTGGTGATTTCTAGGGTTTGAAAGGACGATTTTCGTTTCTCTGACAGCGACGTGAAGGGAATTTCGTATGCTTTGAGTGTTGAACTTAGATGTGAAGTGAAAGGTTGATGGTAGTGTACGAAAGACCAAGCCTGCTCGCCATTGATTATGACCGGAGATTACAGTGACGTCTGGTGGTGGGCCGGTGAATCTGTCACATGGAATGGCAGATCTTGTTAGCTACGGTAACGCAGACCGTGACACCGAGCAGGTATTTTTTTTATTGACCTTTGATATATAGCCTACCTTATACTCAGAAAATATGAGATCTTGAAAATATGACATGACCAAATTGTCACACCCCAAAACCGGAACGACGGAAACGTTCTCTGGGGCGGAGAACGTCATGTACAGTATCATAACAATGTATAATAGTAAACAAGCAACAACATCCATTGCATTAATAGAATAATTCTAATACAAGCGTGTTCTATATAGTTTATAAGACACCAAAAATATGAATCAAAATAAGAGATGAGTCTTGAATGTGCTCCATCTTCTCAAAAGCTTCATCGGTACCTGTCTATGGATGACCTGAGAATACAAGTTATTTTGAAAGAGTTTATCAGCATTAAAGCTGGTGAGTTCATAAGTATTTAGTGTCCTTGTTTGTATGAAAACGCTTGTAAGTTTGAAGAAAATGTTTGTAAGTTCTCGATATAAATGTTTGTAGTGAGTAATAATATCTCCTAGAAAATCCTATATTTTCTACTAAAAGTGGCCTTCTACCAAGGCACCAATGTTATGTATGTTTGTTCCGCGTAAAAGTGTGTATTTTCCCAAGTATGTCTATTATTAACGAAATATAGTTTAAACATTTATGAATATGTGAGAAGATCACAAAGTAAATGTAATAGGGAAAATAATGTTTTACCTCAGCAGTAACACTGCTGGCTATAAAGTAATAAAATACAGACTCCAGGCAGTATTAAATGTACAATACACCTCGGGGAGTCTTTTTGCCTTTAATCCCTAGTCGGTTAATTAAAGGTTTGAATGTGAACTCGTATGTAACCATGCTGATCGACGACTGAATAAATGATGACCCTCCGGTGTCATATGTAGTGAGGTGACATTTTGTCACCCCTTGGCCTTATCGACTGGGACTGTAGCTAGCAGTCGGGGTGTGGGAGTGTCTGTCCCGTATAGATCTATACACACAATGCCCGCTCTCCCTCCAGGAGACTCTGGTTACAAAAATGATACAACACGATCTTGTTGTATCCGAAAATAGTATGTCACATTCTAGTTATCGTATTCGTATGTTTGTATAGTATATCATAGTGTAGTAATGTTCTCTCTGTACTAGTGTATAGTATGCTCTCTTGTGTAGTGTATAGTATGTTTGTGATGACTTGTAAATGTACTGACTCTTGTATGCTTCGTTGTATTAGTAATAGTGAGTAGTAATCTCTTAAACTATACCTATTATAGTTTACTAGTAATGTTGTTTGTATGCCTTTGCTACCCAAAGGTACTGAACTGAAATAAAAGCCTTTATATCTAAACACATATACATGATATATAACTAAGGTTTCAATGACATTCGGACAAATAACAGGATACTCTAAGTCCACAACCAAACAAGGAACAAGAAATAAAGTGAGCTATCAGTCCTAAGCCCTTCAAATCTTACTTATATAAATATATCTGTATAGACATGAGATTGACAATAGATATAAAGGTTTAAAAGAAAAATGTTTTGAAGTGTTTGAAATCCATAAGTTTGATAACAATTTGAAAGTTTGATATAATCAATGTGATTAATATAATAACTAGAATGCTTCAACTTGTATTCCCCCCCATAAAAGCATTTAAAAATCATTTCAAGGGTTGATTAAGGGGTATGAACTCACCTGTAGTGAGTGGTTTGGATGGAAGTGGTGGGTAGGATGCTAAGTGTCAAGTGAGGACTCGAGCACACACGGATCCTATTTAACATATAGTGACACATATATGTATCTAATTAGTGATTAAACAACTAATTAAACAAGTAAAGACACCTTAGGACAAGGAAAACACTTTGATTCAAGTGCTAGAAGTACTAAGGGGTTGCATCTAAGGGTTGTAGGGCCTCTCATTGGAGTTTACGGCCCAAGTGTAAACCCCCATGAGTTTACGGCCCATGGTTGTTTACTGCCCATGTGTTTACGGCCCATGGTGTTTACTGCCCATGGGTTTACGGCCCATGGTGTTTACGACCGTAAACTCATGGTGTCTTGTACCATTTCGTGTGTTTAAGGTCCTATAATCATCTTGGAAGTGTTCTAGGCTTTGTTTCTAGGCTTAGGAGGGTGTTGTGGCAACTTTGCACCACTTAAATAGAGTTTACGGCCAAGGGAGATTGCCTTGGCCGTAAACACCCTTCTGGTCACGATTTCTAGAAGTTTAGCAAGTGTTTCAAGTATACAACACGTTAGGGATAGTGTACTTACGTAGTGGAAGCTTGAAAGGGAGGTTAGAGTCCAAAAACACTAGTGTGTGTTCTTGGTGAAATGAAGAACACTTGAAGATCTACCCAAAAGAAGAGATTTCATGGATGAAATGAAGAGTGAATCAAGGAGAAGATATGTATTAACTCATATATGGAAGAATTTACTTACATTTTTGAAGATTGGGAGCAAAAGTCTCAAGATCCTTGGGAGAGAATTCGAGTTCTAGGCTTGGAAAAGTGAAAAGTGGCTGAAAAATGACTAAGGGCCATATATATACCATGGAGTTTACGGCCACCATGTGTTTACGGCCGTAAACCCATGACCCTTGGCCGTAAACTCCTCTTTTGAGGGTTTATGGCATGTTTGATGGGTTACAACTTCAATTGGCACTTCCATTCACTTATTCCTTGGATATACTAGGCTCGGAATGCTCAAATAGACTCAAAATAGTGCTAGAAGTTAGCAGGAACAAGTCTAAGTTTGATTGGATTGAATGGTTTGTACAAGATTGAAATTTCGGGTTGTCACATCATCCCCCCGTTAGAGGGAATTTAGTCCCGAAATTAGAGTTTAAGCAACTAAGTTATTACAAATAACTAAGCGAAAAGATGAGGGTATTTCAATCTCATTTGATCCTCGCGCTCCCAAGTGAATTCCGGTCCTCGCTTGGCGTTCCAGCGAACCTTCACTATTGGGATACGACTTTGCTTCGTTTGCTTGACCTCTCGGTCCATGATCTCTACAGGTTCTTCCACGAAATTGAGGCTCTCGTTGATCTCGATCTCGTCGAGTGGGATTACAAGAGTCTCGTCGGATAGGCACTTTTTCAAGTTCGAGACGTGGAAAATAGGATGTACGTTACTAAGCTCGTGGGGTAGGTTGAGTTTGTAAGCTACAGGGCCGATTCTAGCGAGAATGTCAAAAGGCCCTATGTATCTTGGATTTAGCTTTCCACGCTTTCCGAAGCGTATCAAGCCCTTCCAGGGTGAGACCTTCAAAAGGACTCGGTCTCCCACCTGGAATTCCAAAGGTTTCCTTCGTTTGTCTGCGTAGCTTTTCTGTCGGTCTCTAGAGGCTTTCAGTCGTTCACGAATCTGAACGATCTTCTCTGTCGTTTCCCGAATGATCTCCGGACCTGTGAGAGTGTTGTCAGGAACTCGTCCTTTAGCTAACTGAGTGTCACCCACCTCAGCCCAGCACAGATGGGATCTGCACTTCCGGCCATAGAGGGCTTCAAATGGAGCAGCCTTTATGCTCGTGTGATAACTGTTGTTGTAGGAAAACTCGACAAGGGGTAAATGAGTATCCCATGCCTTCCCAAAGTCGATCACACAGGCTCGAAACATGTCCTCCAAGGTTTGGATAGTTCTCTCACTTTGTCCGTCGGTCTGTGGATGGTAGGCTGTACTCATGTCCAGCCTCGTTCCTAAGGAGCTTTGTAGCGACTGCCAGAACCTCGAAGTGAATCTACTATCTC